CAGTTAGCAAAGTTGTTTAGGGTATAATGCTGATGACACCAATTTTGGGGTTCCAGACCTACAGAAGTTAAATTATGTCACTTTTCTTCATGAGAGACTCAAATGCATATCTGAAATCACCATTCCACTCCCATCTCTGCCACAGGGAAAATCTGAACCTGTTGTATCTGAGTTAATTAAATTCCTTCAATCATGGGTGATGCTGGCAATTTCTACTGAACTCCAACCTCTGTTGTTTCTTAAGGTAGGCAGAATTCTATGATGGCCCCCAAGATGCCCTCCTCCTGGTGCACAGTCCTGCACAATCCCTTGGACTGTGACTTGATTAGGATATATTACATAGCAAGTTGACTTTAAGAAAGGAAGACTATCAATAGAGAACCTGACCTAGTTAGGAGCCCTTAAAGGGGACTGAGCTCTTCCCGGAGTCAGGAATTGTAGGTGTGAGAGGAACTGAGAGATTTGAAGTGAGGGAGAGTCTCTGTTGCTGGTTTTGAAGATGGTGGGGGCCAATGGAATGCAAGTGGCCTCTGGGAGCTGAGGGCACCCAGGTGACAGTCAGCAAGGAAACAGGGATTCTACCATAACCACAAGAACTTGGACCACAGCCCTGTGTATTTTAGCCTTGTTAGATCCTGAGCAGAGAACCCAACTACCCAGTGCCCAGACTTCTTACCTACAGAACTCTGAATAGATAAATGTGCATTGTTTCAATCTGTTAAATTGTGATAATGTGTTTTGCAGTAACAGAACACTAATAGATTTCTACTTGTTAATTTTTTAAAACAAATAATGTGAAATGCAAAGATGGAAATGTTATAACAGAAAATTGAGTTGTGTAGGTTAGAGTGTCAAGTGCCTCTGGGGGCCATTCTTCATCTAAATACTTTGCTCTTGCTGTCTCTTTCTTGGAGTCCTGCTACTGACTCTGAGTGACCCTCACATGCTTCTGTCCTATAGATACTTGGAAATTGATATTTACATTTTAATTTATATAAGCATATGTTCCTTAAGTGTTATATATATGTTGTGGATATCAATTTCATATCTAACACATAATGTTACAACAGCTACCAACTGATCCTTTAATTTTTTTGCAACATGCATCTTGACACTAAGTTCCCATCCTCCCAGGCTTCCGGATGGAGGAAGAGACTTGCAGGTGGCTTTTCTTTTCAACAGGGAACTGATTCAAGGAGGAAAAATAAGCCTATCTGGATTTTTTGTCTCTGTACAGAAACCGTAAAGCCAGTTACACTCCCACCAACTCACCTTGGGCCATTCTGTCTTTGCCAGTTGTATTACTCAGGCTTCTCCAGAGAAACAGAACCAATGGATAGCTATATATCTATATGAATTGGCTTATACAATTACAGAAGCTGACAAATCTTAAGATCTGCAGTCAGCAAGCTGGAGACCCAGGGAAGCCAATGGTGTAGTTTCAGTCCAAAGACCAGCAGGCTTGAAACTCAGGAAGAGCCAATGTTTCAGTTCAAGTCCAAAGGCAGGAATAACTGTTCCAGCTCATGCAGTCAGGTGGGAGTTCTCTCTTCTCTAGGGAAAGGCCAGCCTTTTTTCCTATTCAGATGTTCAACTGATTGGATGAGGCCCAGCCAATTTGGGAGAGTAATCTGCTTTACTTAGTCCATTAATTTAAATGTTAAATGCATCCAAAAACACCTCCACAGAACCTAGAATGATGTTTTACTAAGTATCAGGAAATCCCATGGCCCATCAAGCTGACACATAAATCAACCATCACACCAGTTCAGTGTAAGAGAAAACAAGATTTAAAAATAAGAAGGAACAACTTTCATCAACCTTAGTACAGTAAAAATGCAGTATTTTTCCTTAGAGTCATTTTATATGAGTAGTATGTTCACATGGTTCAAAAATGCGAAAGTATTAAAAGGCATAATGAAAAGTCTTTGGTCCCTTCTTCCCCCCCTCCCCTACCATCCCCATTCTCACCAACACCTTTACCTTAAGTTTCTTATGCACCTTTCCTGACTTTTTTAAAATGATGCTTGCAAATATGAACATAGTCTTATTTTACCTAACATAAAAGGTAAAATATTTACTCATTATTCTGCAGTTCTTTTTTAACTTAATGTACTTTGGAGAGCTCTATTTTATCAATCCTTAGTTTACAAATAGCACTTTCAAGTTTGCATACTGCTTACAAGTGCGGTTTATTTTCTAATGAGTTTATCCAACCAGGAAGGAGTTGAACCTGGCAACTTCTTTTCCATTGTACCTCCGATGGAGGGAATGAGAACAACGTGTAGGTTTATTGGAGTAGATGGAGGAGAAGAAAACTAAACCATATATGTATATGTATATGTATATGTATATGTATATGTATATGTATATGTATATATATGTGTGTGTGTGTGTGTGTGTTATATACCTTTTTTGCTCTAATGAGGGACAAAACACTTTTTGCCTGAAGCAACACGGTATTCAAAGATATTTGCAGTAGGGGCTTGGAAGCAGCTAGTGATCAAAAGATACTATATATTCATTCAACAAATATTTATTGACCCTTGCTCTTCCTAATGTAATAAACAGCTTCAGCAAAGATGTTTAAGAAATAACGTTAAGTGAAAAAAAAAAAGGATCAAAAAGTTTTTATAGGATGGTAATTCCTTTCAAAAATGTACACACACAGCATATGCATATAGATGTCCAGTAGTATATATACAATAAAATTTACTTAAAAGTGTTTATATCTTTGTAATGTGGAAATATATATATATGTTTCTTAGCCATATTTTATATATTTTGACAGTTATCCTCTATAATACTTATATATTTTAAAAAAGGGGAAAAGTAAATTCAGAAATAAAGAGTGAAAAAAAACTAGTAATCAATCCTGGGGATCTTTATACCAAAGATATATCCAGCACAATTGGGGAGGATGAAGTAAATTATGAAATACTTACTGTAAAACTTAAGATTCTTTTACCCTGACAGCTTAAGGTTGATGCTCATAGTTCCTTACCTGGCATAGAAGTCATCTGACCTACAGTCCATATTCAGTATTAGTGATGAGGAAAATCAAAACAATTAACATTCTGGTTTATTACTAAGATTCTATGAATTTAATTATATTGATAAAATTCCTCTGAAAGTAGCCACTCTCTGGTAAAAAGATAAATTTGCTCTCCAAAGGCAGTGGAGTATGGTAGTTCAGAATAAGGACTCTGGAGCAGGCTACCTAGATCCAAATGAGTCCACCCCTGACCTGAGAACTTTGAAAGGGAAAAGGGCATGGACATGTGGACACTGGAGCCCAATAATCTTGTCTCCAAATTTTGACTTTCTTACTCTCTCTGAGCCACAATGTCTTCATTATTAAAATGGAGGTAATAATCCCTACCCCACGGAGGAGCTGGGAACAGACACACAGACAGACAGACACACACACACACACACACACACACACACAGTATGTAGCCTGTATAATGCCTGGTAACAGTAAGTGCTCAATAAATATTATTTTCTTTGCCCCTTAAAAGAAAACCATTCTCTTCCTTTATAAGCTGTCCTTAATGAAAATGTTCCTAATTTATTTAGCTTTTCAAATATTCTAGACATTCATTTCTCACTTATCTAAAAACTGTATCATCTCATCAACACTTTCATCAATCAAACATCTGTGTTAGACATTCTCAGTAAAATAGGCAATATTTCAGCCTATCGTCTTGGAAATTCTGGCAACATCAGATGACCAGACACCAGAGTGAGGAAGACCTCCCCACCAAACATACAGACTGCACCCACCAGCAACATTTGCTGCAATACCGCTGCGGGAAAAAATTACCAGTCACAACACTCCCAGAGGGAAGAGGATTTTTATCAAAACAAACCTCACAGATGGGGAAGGAGCTTTGTTATAGACAACAAAATATCCCTGCAGAATAGGAAGCCCCTGAAGGGTAGATTTGTAGAGATAATGGAGAACAGGCACCTATGTAATAATTTAGGAGCCAAAACAAAAGACTGCCTACGTGCTTCTCCTTCACACACACAAATCTAGCCCTCTGCACTTTTCTCTGCCATGAAACACACCTATGGTCCTGGGCTCTAGAAAGACAAATGATCAGAACAAAAGGAAGAAGTCAGTTCTTTCCAGAATCAACGCCATTGCTTTTGGAATAAGTGCGAGTGGCTGAGGAATCCCCAGTTACGGGTGGCGAGTCCACTTCATTGTGTCCATTCTTTCTACTTGGTTTGGGGCTCAGTTTGATCT